TTTATTCACTCAGTACTCACCTAGTATATCACTCTCTGTCAAATCAACAACCTCAGAGGTAGGAGTTAAAGGAACATCTGAAACATCTTATAATCAAAAAATATATAAATAATACAACTAAAAATAATATATTAAAAAATTATACATAAAATAAATTTAAAATTTATTAAAAATAAATGAATACATAATATTCAATATATATGTAGATGAGTTCGCTGAACTTCTTCCTTTCTATTGCCTTTAAAAAAATTGTATCCTAGATGTACTATATATATTTTTTTTTTCATCTATATAATATTGAAAATATTAATAAACTGTCTTCAAATTATATTATTTTCATATAGAACATATTAGTAAAAATAAGACAGAGAGCTATTGACCTACTTTTTAGTATATATGATATATTTTTTATTATTCCAAGAATTTCTAGAATCCAGAATCTATCATGATTCTGGGTTAACGTGCCAAAGCTACATACCTTTTAACGATACCATAAATTGATAGCAATAAATATGTTTTATAGCAATATAAATTCAGAGATCACTAGTTAATAAGCCTGCGCATCGATTCCATTGGTTCCCTATCGAGAATATTAACTTTCTAGAGGTTGATAAGTGATCATATTTGAGTGATGCCTAGCGAATTTCTAAAATTTACAGTTTCTAACTTGACCATATATTGTAAAGAACCTTTTTTTCTTAAGCCGGGGTTTTTCTCGCCGGATCCCAGAGTCGTTACAAGAATATTTTTTCTCTGTAACCCTGAATCTTCTCGTAATTAAAAAACGGGCTATTTTCGTTAGTTTCGTGGTTTTTATTATTTTTCTCAAAATAAATTTATTACAATATTTATAGTTATACTTATGTACTAATGATATTTTATTGTAATTATAAATACGGACAATTAATATAACTCCTGTAAATAAGAGAACACAAAAGAATGACTAAAGGTAGGCTAGGAGACAACACTACCGACAGGGCTGTGTTGCTAGGTTCAGTGTTACCGACTGGGCTACACTGTGGGATTAGGAAACAACACTACCGACAGGGCTGTGTTGCTAGGTTCAGTGTTACCGACTGGGCTACACTGTGGGATTAGGAAACAACACTACCGATAGGGCTGTGTTGCTAGGTTCAGTGTTACCGACTGGGCTACACTGTGGGATTAGGAAACAACACTACCGATAGGGCTGTGTTGCTAGGAATCAGTTCTATGACTTAATAATTACCTCTGTGATTACCTTGTGAAGTGTTCTGCTTCACGACCTGTGATTGAACCTCTGGTGATGTGCACTGTTCGAAGTGCTGTGGCCAAGTCCCTCTGGTGATGTGCACTGCTCGAAGTGCTGTGGCCAAGTCCCTCTGGTGATGTGCACTGTTCGAAGTGCTGTGGCCAAGTCCCTGTGTTTTACTTTGCTTCTCCTTTTATACGGATTTTATAGAACGGGATAACGGACTTCTGAGTGCATACTGTGTAGCTTTCTTCTAAGTTGTTATTGCTACTGATTTCGCTATGTTCTGCTGTTGTTGTTCGCTGCATATTTATTATTAAAATTTGGCAAAAATAATTACCCTCAAAGAAATCGGAAGTATTATTACTTAATTTGTATTTTCAAGAGATTTATTGTTTCTCTTAATTTTGATAACTAAATTCTATGATAATTTATAATTACTTATTATTATCTTACTTTCTAAAATAATTCCTTTTACTTTATTAATACTTTATATATTTTTTCATAGCTTAGATTAATATTTTTTTTCGTGGGTTTGGTTTTACTAATATTAGCTTAATTCTATTGTTTTATTTGTTTACAATAATAATAATAACTTCATGCTATATATATTTTTCGACTAAAAATAGTTTTAATTCTGTTGTTGGGTTTTTTTATTTGTTTACTATAATAACTTCATGTTATTTTCAACTATCATAATTTATTTGTGACGTGTTGGAAAAAATCGTCACACTCCCTCCCTTCATTGGAAAGGGGAACGACCCGGATGGCACCAGAATTTGCTATGAGCACCTTATGTTTTTTTCCTGATTTTGCACATAAAAACATGGCGACGGCCCCGTTTTAACTTTTGAGCGTCCCTCTGTATCCGTTCCCAAAGTTCTGCGGTGGTTCTGGGGCTAGTTTTGCAGCAAAATGAGCCTGAGCGTTGGATAGTGGATGTGTTTGACTAAAACCATATCGCCAATCTGTGGTTTCCATGCTCTGGGTCGTAAATTATAGTGCTTGGCTTCTGTAACGTTTCTTCGGAGTTTTGAATATTTTATAAAATTTGTCTTGGGCCGTAGTGACAATCTGATCGTTCTCCGGTTGGGTTGTACAACAAATTTTCGTTTGCCGTTGCTGTTTTTCTGTGCTGACTTTGTCATCTGTTTCGAGACAACGTTCCTTAATTTGGTATGGTAATTGTTCCTGTTGGCCTTGTTGTGTTTCAATAAATTTTATTTGCTGTTGTACTATTTGCTCTTGTGTACCTTGTAGTTGTTGTAACTTTTGTACTTTGATAGGTCTCGGATCTTGCTGTGTTTTCCCTTTGTTAGGTCTCGGGTCTTGCTGTATTTTCACTTCGATAGGTCTCGGATCTTGTTGTTGTACGATGTGTTCTAGCGTGTCTTGTGGTTGCTGTGAATCTCGTCTAGGTGTTGTATTGATAGGACTTGGATCTCGGTATTGTTGTAACTTCGGTGCTTTAGTAGATTTCGGATCTTGTTGTATTTTCACTTTGATAGGTCTCGGATCTTGCTGTATTTTCACTTCGATAGGTCTCGGATCTTGTTGTTGTACGATGTGTTCTAGCGTGTCTTGTGGTTGCTGTGAATCTCGGCTAGGTGTTGTATTGATAGGACTTGGATCTCGGTATTGTTGTAACTTTGGTGCTTTAGTAGATTTCGGATCTTGTTGTATTTTTACTTTGATAGGTCTCGGATCTTGTTGTTGTACGATGTGTTCTAGCGTGTCTTGTGGTTGCTGTGAATCTCGGCTAGGTGTTGTATTGATAGGACTTGGATCTCGGTATTGTTGTAACTTTGGTGCTTTAGTAGATTTCGGATCTTGTTGTATTTTCACTTTGGTAGGTCTTGGATCTTGTTGTTGTACGCCGTGTTCTAGCGTATCTTGTAGTTGCTGCTGCTGCCGTTGTCGATTAACTTGCTGCTGTTGCTGTTGATTAGTCTGCTGTTGTGGCTGTCGTTGTTGCTTAACTTGCTGCTCTTGTTGTTGATTAGTCTGCTGCTGTTGCTGTCGTTGTTGTTTAACTTGCTGCTGTTGTTCTTCGACGGCTATGGATTGCAGTAGTTTTTGTTTTTGCTTAAAGAATCTAGACGGGATAAAAAACTTTAGAAAATCAACCTTGAAATGTGTCCAGTACTGCCAACGACAATTGTTGTTGCGATACCATATTAGTGCATTATTTTCGAGAAGTAAGGGCATTGTGCGTGGAATTAAGTTTACATCGATGCTATACTTGTCTGCCAGTTCTTCTATGTGTTCGATGAAACTCAATGGATCCTCACCACCGTCATATCTGAAGGACCATTTTTCCACATGTTCTATTGTTTGAATGGGTGAGCGCATTGTAGGACTCATATCTGCCCCTTTGTATTCCACGTGTGATATACGTTGATATATTTTTTTCTTCCAGAGTTCTTAAATTCGTTTCATTCGAGTTAAGAGTTCTGTGATGTGACCAACCAGGTTCGTGCTAAAATCGGATCCTCCTTACTCATTATTATATTACGAAGTTTCCTACGTTGTATTCAGGGTCCCTGCTCGGGCGCCACTTGTAAAGAACCTTTTTTTCTCAAGCCGGGGTTTTTCTCGCCGGATCCCAGAGTCGTTACAAGAATATTTTTTCTCTGTAACCCTGAATCTTCTCGTAATTAAAAAACGGGCTATTTTCGTTAGTTTCGTGGTTTTTATTATTTTTCTCAAAATAAATTTATTACAATATTTATAGTTATACTTATGTACTAATGATATTTTATTGTAATTATAAATACGGACAATTAATATAACTCCTGTAAATAAGAGAACACAAAAGAATGACTAAAGGTAGGCTAGGAGACAACACTACCGACAGGGCTGTGTTGCTAGGTTCAGTGTTACCGACTGGGCTACACTGTGGGATTATGAAACAACACTACCGACAGGGCTGTGTTGCTAGGTTCAGTGTTACCGACTGGGCTACACTGTGGGATTAGGAAACAACATTACCGATAGGGCTGTGTTGCTAGGTTCAGTGTTACCGACTGGGCTACACTGTGGGATTAGGAAACAACACTACCGATAGGGCTGTGTTGCTAGGAATCAGTTCTATGACTTAATAATTACCTCTGTGATTACCTTGTGAAGTGTTCTGCTTCACGACCTGTGATTGAACCTCTGGTGATGTGCACTGTTCGAAGTGCTGTGGCCAAGTCCCTGTGTTTTACTTTGCTTCTCCTTTTATACGGATTTTATAGAACGGGATAACTGTCTTCTGAGTGCATACTGTGTAGTTTTCTTTTAAGTTGTTATTGCCTGCTACTGATCTCGCTATATTCTGCTGTTGTTGTTTGCTGCATATTTATTATTAAAATTTTGCAAAAATAATTACCCTCAAAGAAATCGGAAGTATTATTACTTAATTTGTATTTTCAAGAGATTTATTGTTTCTCTTAATTTTGATAACTAAATTCTATGATAATTTATAATTACTTATTATTATCTTACTTTCTAAAATAATTCCTTTTACTTTATTAATACTTTATATATTTTTTCATAGCTTAGACTAATATTTTTTCCGTGGGTTTGGTTTTACTAATAATAGCTTAATACTATTGTTTTGTTTGTTTACAATAATAATAATAACTTCATGCTATATATATATTTTGTTTCGACTAAAATAGTTTAATTCTGTTGTTGGGTTTTTTTTATTTGTTTACTATAATCACTTCATGCTATTTTCAACTATCATAATTTATTTGTGACGTGTTGGAAAAAATCGTCACAGTGTACAAACTGGACAAGGTGTACAACATCATCAACAACAACAGGGCGGTTTTGAAGCACCACTCGTACACAAACAATTCTTTACTATTTCTGCACCTGAGGATCATGATTCTTTAGATCGTTCCAAACACTTTGTTATTGGACGTCCACAAAAGAACTATCGTGTTGTATTTATTAAGGCACCATCATCAAGCAGCGCTAATGTTAAACTTTCTGCTGAATACGCACCTAAAGAAGAGAAAACAGTCATTTATGTATTGTCCAAAAAGGATTCAGCTTTGGAGGTTAACGACATTGCCACACCAGCACCAACTGTTCCCAGCAAGCCAGAAGTATTCTTCATTAAATACAAAACTGAAGATGAAGCTACACATGCTCAAAAACAAATTCAAGGTATTATAAATATTTTTATGGACATTATTACTAAAAATACTTTACTAACTTTTTTTTTCTCTGTATAAATTAGCTGAATATGACAAAATTGAGGGTACCTCTGAACATGCCGACGGTGGTGTGGGACAAGTACAATCAGTTATTGGATCCTTGGGCGGTGGCAGTGATTTTGGTGCTAGTTCTACCAATGTACACCAAACCAGTGGTAGTATTGGTGGTTTTTCAGGTGTTGGTAGCAGCGGTGTTGGCACTGGTGGTTTCTCTGGAATTGGAAGCAGTGGTGTGGGTACTGGTGGTTTCTCTGGAATTGGTAGCAGTGGTGTTGGTACTGGTGGCTTTTCTGGTATTAGTACCAGTAGTATTGGCACTGGCGGCTTTTCTGGAATTGGTAGCAGTATTAGTAGTGGATCTGGAAGCGCACAAGGCAATACATACTTGCCACCATCCAATTAGGAATTTAATGAACCTAACACTTTTTAAGCAAGGCACAAAAGTATTATTATAACCACACAATTTTTGTTTTTTTGTTTATTGAACGAATATATAATAAAATTTATACTATAAACGAAATAAGATTCTAGTTTAAAAATTTTTATAAACATGGATTAACTTTCAGGAGTTTTTGACTTTAACTTTGTAGCCAATATCTCAACGTACGTACCATCAATAATATATTCTTTAATAATCATAATATAATATAATCGTAATAATATTTATATTAAATAATATTTAATAATCGTAAAAATACTTTCGTATTTTTAACAAGACTACAATCATTATTCATCACCAAGTACTATTTTAACTTTGTAGCCGATATCTCAACGTACCATCAATAATATATTATCGTCAATAATATTTAATAATCGTAAAAATACTTTCGTATTATTAAGAAGGCAACGAGCTTTATTCAACACCAACTAATGGTTCCATGAACCAAACTTGTTAATACTGTAACTGCCATCTGTCCTTACAATCAAGTGCCTCTCACCACTCCTAATTGAGCTATTGGGTTAGTGATCAATAATCACTAACAACTATAATTTTTTAAACAAAATAATAAACCCATTTAGTGCAGCTGCATATAAAATACACAAAAAAAGTCATTCTAAGAAAATTATTCTTTACTCTTTCATTTAATGTAATAGTTTTTCTTCCCTTTATAATAAAAAAAAGTAAAAATATTTACATAATCTTATTTAGATCACTCACCAACTGACTTAATGGCTTGTTTTAATAACAAACTCGACTGGCTCTTATCTAATGTATCTATTTCACGGCACGTTCGATACAAACTCGAAATCATAGACTCCACAGTAGATGAACCGTCAAATGATGGCAACATTGATATGAAACGGTTTAATTCATTCAATTCTGCAAACAACAATAATGCAATAAATAAAAGCAAAAGCAGTTTTAAGAATTAGTGCACCCACCTTCATACTCATTATAAGTTTTATAATTCCATTCACCGCGCTTAATAACAAAATAATCGTTAGCCGCGTACTCATGCGCAAAATTACCACACGCCCACTCATATGTATCTCGACAGGAACTCTTACTGGTGTTAGCCCAAAGCAAAATTTGTTGACTGGCTTCTACACACTCTTTTTCCAAACAGACTTTCGCTTTGAAATAGAACGGCACTTCTGGCCAGGAAGCTATCAATACGATTATAATCACTATAAGTAAGGCACAAAAGCAGGCAGTCGTTATATATAAAATGCGACGTTTACGCGATAATCTCATTAACGCATCAACTGATAAACGTCCTGAAAGCAAAAAGTCTTTAACGAAAAATTCGTTGTACATTTATTAGTGCAATGGAGTGCTGATGGAAGACATTTATTTAAAGACAAACACAATTTTATAATGTGATATAGTGCATTTGTAAGCAAATGAAGCTCTTACAGATTATGTACTTACCTCTCAGTCTGTTTGTGCTGGCATTACCACTTAGGTTCGCTGTTTCAGCTTGAGTGCTACTATCACTACCCCCACCGACGCCATCATTTTGTGCTTCTAGATCTTTTCGCGATAGATTATTGTCAATATTAAATTTTTGTTGATTTATTGTCAATGGAGCAGTTTCGCTCCCTTCGATTTGTTGTTTTTGTAACTCGTCACTTTTCAGATTTCGATCATCCACCTCATCAATGGCGGATATAGTGGGTCTATACTTACCCTGACTTAGTGCCATTTTTGAGGAAATTACTATTTTATATTGTTATAAGAATACTATATGAATTTCAATGTTAAATGATATGTTAGGAACATATTTTGTTAAATTTTGTTTTGAAATATTCGAGTTTTCAGGTTGTATTTACATTACATTGGAGTGTCTGGAAATAAACAAAAAAAAATTAATAATTATTACTGGTTAATTTTAAATATATAGTTTATATTAATATATTATAAGAATAAAATATACATAAATTAGTTTATCAATTTGCTGTCTAATGAGATGTTGTCAATAATGTACTTTTTTGTTGCAGTAGCTGTAGCCTAGGTAAGATTATGTCGGCGATCCAAAAGGTTCACTTAGATAGGCCTATTGGCAGATTGTATAATGGGTATAAAATTTAAGTTTTACAAGGTATTAGTTTGTATAACGGACAAACTCAGAGTTTTGAAACTACCTTAAATCTTCGACAGAGCTTCAAATACTATTTAATGATCTTACAGTATTCGTCTGTCCGATATTCTTAAGGCAGCTGTCTTACTTGTGGATCAAAACAAGAACCAGAGAAGTTATAGTTGCAGATCAGTGCACAAAGAGGAAATCATAATTTTTTAATTTATTCAGAATTCTGCACTCGCCAGAAAGATTGTATTCATTACAAGTTTTCTCTTCCTAAAGTATAAATCTATCCGATATTCTTACGGACCTATTCTGTGCACTTGACAGATTTGTCAAATTCTTCTTGATTTTTATAAAGCAGAAAGCTTTTTGGTATTCTGGACACATCTTGACAAATTTCAAAGCTTAAGTACCTAGTGCTTCTCACCACACTATGGTGTAATGTGTTTTGTATAGAAAACTGTTCGTAATTGTTCGTAACTGTTCGTAAAAAATGCTTGTAAAGAGCACATATTTTCAGTTGCATTTTTCATGCATTCAAATAACAATAAAAAATATGCTTGTAAAGAGCGTCTATTTTAGTTAAGAATATTTGTCATGCATGCAAAAAGTAAATAATGCTTAAAAAGAGCATATTTTTATAGTTGTCAACAGCATTTGTAGTAATGACAAATAACAAGGAAAAGAGCTTTTTATTTATGTCACAGAATACCAAAACCTTTACAGCAGTCAATTTTGACAAGTGTCAATGGTTGACAAGTTTATAAAGTGTACAGAATAGGTCCGTTAATGTACTTATCATAGGAATAGATCAGAGAGAAAATATTCTGTTATAAATTTTTAAATATCCTGTCATAATCTGACAAGACTAAACAGAATTCATAACAGAACCATAAATCGGTACACTCCCAAGTGGAAGTGAACATTTTTTAAAATTTTTATTTATGTCTAATAGCTAGCTTTAATCCGATTGAAAATCAAACAGCTCACATGCATCTTATAACCAAAAATCTGCAATACGATCATACGAATTTTGATTATTTTTTGGTTTAATTTATTTTTGTTTTTTGAGAATTAACGTAAATTATTATTTTACAAAAGTGCATAAATTTGCACTTAATGATTTCCTTTGTTACATTTTGTTTTTGTTAAATAAATATTTCCATAACAAATCATTTTCAAATTTAAGTAAACACAAAATTTAAACCAAAACAATGCCAAATAAATAAGAGAAACAAAAATTACTTTTAAATAAAAAGATTAAAAGTACAAAATCTGGAAAATGAAAGAAAAATATTTACAGAACAGGAAAAAGAGTAAAATTTTGAATTCATTAAATTATTATAAACAAATTGCTAAAAGCACAAAATCTATTAAATCATTAATATTTTTATGGTTGGTTAATAAAATTTTGGATTGCATGCAGAAAATTTTGTATATTTATTTAGTTAAGATATTAAAATCTTATTTTGGAATAGTGAATCAATGACCTTGTCCTTAATTTAGAAACTTAATGAACGTATAAAAAAGTGCTTAATTG